TCAATACCACTTAGCCGTCCAAATTTTTTCATTACGGATGCTCCGTCAGTGACACTAGCTATGATGTGCTTTTTAATTGATAAACTGAAATCTGACAGTTTATTTTCAACTAGATCAACAATTTTTTCTGCAGGAAGTGATCCAGCTATCGGAGTCATTCCCAGGTTCTAAAACTTTGTTGATAATTGTAAATTTACATTTAAATAACGTCGATTTTTTAAAGACGTATATTCGTCTAACGATAAAGAAAATCGCGACCCGCTAGAAATTTCTTTTGTTATCTCTAAAACCACAGTTTGTCTAGCTAATTCATATTGTTTTTTTATCATACCCATAACATGGGATGGATTTTTTGGTAATAACATGCCTTTTTCAGACAATGATTTTCTAATGAATTCACTTTTTGTTATGGCATTTATTGAGAAGCCATCCACCGTTGCTAGCTTTGACACAATTTCCTCGATAGTCTGCTGTTTAACAAACAATGTTATTTTCTTTTGAACAATTTTATTTTCCGAACCAGTATCTTCAAGTAGACGCTTCATATTTAGATCCAAATCTTTATGTGTGTTTTTTAAATGACGTAGGAGCCCACTGGTCGAAAATCCTTTGCACATTATCTTTACATTGCACTTTTTGCAAATTGCAGATTCGTCAGATTTTTCTTTACAAAAATACTGCCATGCTTTGGATCCATTTACAATTGACATAGTATAACTAAATTGAATCGCAGAACAACTAAAAGTAAAGTTACAAATATTTCTTACATATGTATGTTATCTTACGTATGACTTTTATGTGTTTGTTTGCCGTTTTTTAAATACAAAAATTATTAAATATTTCAATAATTTGATACAGAAAAAGTTTAACTTTTCAATAATTTAGAAGTTTAAAAATTAAACTTACTGTTTTCGTCGCAAGAAATCTTTTTTATTTTTTACTCATATTTTATAATAATGAGAAAAAAGAAAACATTGCATTGCAATGCATTTCTTTTTAGTTTAAGATAGTTTCAATAGCATTTCTTGTTGTGCTAGGTTTTAATATAAGGTATGAACACATAAAACACAACTAAATGCAATAATATTTTTCTTATTTTTGGTCGAATTAGTTCAAAGTTATCATATGTAAAATTATTTTAAAAAAAATTATATTCCGGGATATAAGAGTGATATCCCGGGAAATCCCGCTGCCACTTTTATCCCCGGGATCCCGGGAAAACGGGATCCCGGGATCCCGTTTGAGAAACCCTACTATAAACTAAATCAAACTATTATTATAGTTTACATTGCAATGCAAAGACTTCATTGCGGTTTTTTTATATTTTTGTTCTAAAGTTTGAGTTATCGGAAAAATATTGGCCATGGGAACAGATAAAATGGTTTGACTTCGAATAACGATTATTAAGTTCATATACAAATTGTTGATATTTGTGAACAATTAGATTTTCAGTCAAATGGTAATACCCAGTCACGAATTTGATATCATATGGATATCAATATGATATCAAATTTCGATATTTATGATATTAATACAGGGCCGTCCCGAAATGATTTTAAAAGGAGGGAGGGGGGGTGCCGTATCTGTTTTTTGCCGACAATAGCCAAAAAAATTTTTTGTCCACTAACTTACCTAAAATATATATATATATATATATATATATATCAAAAAAAAAAAAGTCCTTGTTTTCCGACTAATATAACTCGTATGAGGGTTAGACACCCCTACGCACCATACGATGTATGCAAAAGCTAGGTTATTGTAATATAAATAATTTTTAAAGCCTTGTTTTGGGGGTGGGATAACCTAAAGTGCTTGTTGATGTTTACCTATATTAGAAAGCAGGGAGATGGGTCGGTAATTAGTGAAATCTAGTAGAGAGCCTTTTTTAAATATTGGAATTACTTTGGCAACTTTAAAAATATCTGGGAAAATACCACTTTTAAATGAGTTATTTATAACAGTAAAGAGAGGCTTTAAAATAAAGTGTGGGTCTAGTTTAAGGAAGAATGTAGGTACGCTATTAGGACCAATATTTTTTTGTGCTAAAAAAATTATAAATTTTAGATACGGCAGTGTGATCAATAATAAGATTTTCTTTCAATTTAAGTTTAAAAAATGTATTTTGTGTAGAAGGTTTAATATTAATGATTTCTTTATTCCCTTGCAGGTGTTTTTAATATTGCTCAGATTATTATTAAAACGAGTAATAAAGTTTTTTTGCTAAACTTTAATAAATTGGAAATTTTGTTTCTATAAAATTTAAATTTTGCAAATAATTCATTTTTCTTATAAATATTTTTAGATTTTATGAAATTTTTATAAAGTTTGTTTTTAACTGTAATAGATTTAAGTATTGCATACGTAATCCAAAGTTTTGATTTTAGTTTAATTTGTTAGTTGGTTAGTATTTTTAGTTTAATTTGTTAGTTGGTTAGTATTTTTTAAGGAGCATGTCAGTATAAGATTTCATCAAATGTTTTTAAAATAAAATTCATGGGTTTGTTAACATCATTATCATTTTTAATGGAGAATTCCCAGTTGAAATCAGAAATTTCTTTAATAAATATACCTTTATCAAATTTTTTGAAGCAGTATCTGTAATTTTTTACTTTTTTGGGATGGTTGGGTATGCAAGGAGTGTGTGGTCTGAAATTGAAATTGTAAGGTTACCTGAGTATTGATCAGTTGAATGAAAGTTCGTGAATATGTTATCAATGAGCGTTTTTGATGTAGCCCTTATGCGTGATGGTAAAATTATAGAAGTGAGTAAGATGTTAAAGAATCAAGATATGTAGAGGTTAGATTTTGACTTAATAGATCCATGTTAAAATCACCTATTAGAAAGAACTTTTTTTTCGTTACTTATTTTTTCAAGTAGAGAAGTTAGGTGGGAAGAAGTAAACTTATGTTGATTCATTGAGGGATGACGATAAAAGCAGCCAATTATTATATTTGACTCAATAGGCTTTGCAATTTCAAATAAAGTAGATTCTAAATAATTAGAAGAGTCAATCATAAGATCATTGTGAACAACGTATTTAAATTTGAGCGTAAGTATAAAAGTGCTCCAGCTTTTTTAGCCTCAGTAGGACAATCCCCAATATTAAACTCATTTATGCATATATCAGTTATATCTGTATCGTTTATACTTAAATTAGATTCTGTAATACCTATTACTAAGGGAAAATTATTAAGAGAGCTGATAAAAATACAGAGTTCGTCAATGTGGAATGGTAGAGAAGCAATGTTAAGATGAATATATAGTTCTGAATTGGGAAGCATAGTTCTATTAAGATCATTAACGTCATAGTATTTGCAAATAACAGAACTGGGAAATTTATTTAGATCTTTAAAGATATTTTTTTAATGATTACTTGGAGTCTCAAAAGTGTTTAATGAAGTAGTAGATATATTTTTGCATAATAATGTTGACTTAAGCTCCAAGTTGGAAATCAAGCTAAAGGCCATACTCTTAGATAAATAGGTATGACAATACAAATCTGACGAGTCATTCAAAAGAAGATTATAAGAGTATGCATCAATATGGTTACACTTTGCATGGACCCATGAGTTACAAAAAATCATATTGGACTCTTTGATTATCAGTTATATTTTTATGACAGGTGTTGCAGATAGACTTAAATACCATAATCTTTAGAATATATATATATATATATATATATATATATATATATATATATATATATATATATATATATATATATATATATATACATGCAGTATTAATTAGTTAAAGTGATTAAAGTGTGAAATAGAGATTAAAAAAAAATGTATAGTAAAAGACTAACTTTAATAATTTAAAACTTGGAAAGCCGTTGAGTAATCGCATTTAATTTTCATAACAACATAAAGAAATAAGAACAATGATAGAAAAAATGATAAGCACTAAAGAAAACTAAAAGCTAACAGTTATAAAATTAAACACTTAAAATAAACTTTGACAAGCTAAAAGACAACAAAAAATATTGAATATAAAAAAATTAATGATACTATAATAATATCTATACTATAGTAATAATATATAGTAATAATAACATAATTACTGTTAACTGCTACCAATAATAATATCATTAACAAAGATACTAAAACAATAATAAATAAAATTAATTCAATAATAAATAAGTTTATAAAAATATAATATTAAAAATGTGTAATAAATAAAATAACTAGGTATCAAACGAGGACTAAAAATAAATACAATTAACTATAAATAAATTATATAATGTGAGAAAACAAATAAGGACTGAAAAATAATAACTATTTATACTAACATGCGTGGCAATATTATAATAAAATTTGTTGTAGATTTTATTATGGCTACTGTCGCTGTAAAGAGAAAAATGAACACAAAATCAATTAAAGTGCTCTGCTTTAAGGAGAATTCTCAAAATCTCAGGTTGCTATAAAATACGGCATTCCAAAAAATACGCTGTCCCAGCAAGTACAATCAACGTTGAATTGACGTTGAAAAACCGTTGATATTTATGATTGAAAAATGATTGATTTTTGGTTGAAATGGAAACACAAATCAACATTGAAAAAAAAACGTTAGATCAACGTTGAAAAATCCACGTTAGATTAACATTGATTCAACCAACTTTTATATGAGTTTGTAAACCTCAAAAATACAACTTTTTGCGCCGTGATTCTTTTAATCCAAAAAAACATATTTTTTGTATAATATTGTGTTGTTATGAGTAAGAAAAGAAACAATAATTCTTCATAAACTCATAATAGCTGTCATAGTACAATATCTTATGCTATTATACTGCACATAATGTTCTTAACTTTTACAGCTTTTATTTATTATTATTAGTAGTATTAATAATTTATTTTATATTATAATACTAACTGCTGTTATAGTATTACAAATAATCTGCCCAATACCATTTTTTTAACGCAGGTAACTAAATTATAAAAATTGAACAGCCATTATTGAAAGCAAATAAAACCAAAAAAATATTTTATACATTTTTAGAACAAACACTTATACAAAATTAAAATTATTTTCAAAACGATCTTGATAAAATCATGATATCTTTATCTTCAACACCAATGTCAAATTCATATGTATTTTTATCGCCTGCTATCATCAGACTCATTTTGATTTGATGCACATTTCTCACGATCCAATCAATATGGTGTAAAGTTCAAACAGTTTAAATTCTATCTTTTTGCACTGTGTCATTTGCATGTTAAGAACATCAGGTAACTGTATCTAAATAAAAATAACTTTAAATTAAGTGTGCATTTGGTAAATTAAAGGAACATTTGTACATTTTAAAAGTATTATTATACTTTACATTGTTTAAAAGCGAATGTGAACATTAAGTGATCACTAGTGGGAAAAAAACAACCCATAACTGATCCAAGCCTAATTTACTTCATTATTGACCGAGATATCAACCTATTTGAATAAAGATACATTATACATTAACGTCATACATCAACGTATATACACACATAACACAAACCTTTTAGGCAGTTATGCATTGCTTAAGTCGAACATTCATTTAGTAGAACCATTTTCCTTAGTCTCCTGGAGATATATATATATATATATATATATATATATATATATATATATATATATATATATATATATATATATATATATATATATATATATATATATATATATATATATATATATATATATATAATATATATATATATATATATATATATATATATATATATATATATATATATATATATATATATATATATATATATATATATATATATATATATATCGGTGGGAGCAGCGCAAAGAAATATAATATACATATCAATAACACCTTGCAAATATTTAAAATCCATTTTCTTTTGTTTGTTTTGTTTTAGATTAGGCCAAGTAAAACTTTGTTCTTTAATTTGCCATTAACCTGCCAAATCAAAATAAATTTAATTAAAAAAAACTAAAAATACAATGAAATTACAAATCAATTAAATTAATGGAATACATAAATCACAAATTTAAAAAAATAATGAAATTATGGCAAAAAAATGTGATAAACAAAATCTTATTTAAAATCTTAAAAACCAGACAAGAATACAAATGAGAGGTTAGAGTTATTAGACAAACTAATCTAGACTAGTCTATACTAATGTGGTTAGATACTTAACGGATATATTGAAATATTATAAAAATAGAAGAAAGTTAGGGAAAAAGCTGTTTGTAAACAGCTTTTTCCCTAACTTTCTTTCTTCTTTTAAAAAATCATCTATGCAACTTGATGATTTAGATTATATTATGTGTAAAAAAAACTATTAGCAGAAAGTTGTCATGAATGGTACAATATTGACAAAAGACAATTATCTATGATGGGAGAGTAATAGAAGTTAATTAAAAAAGTCATGATTTATTTGTTGTTACTTTCATAATGTTTATATAATGACATGCATTATATAACCAAAGTGTTTATGCACTATATAACCAGAATGTTTACTAAATTTAAACTCCATCTGGCTCCTCTCTCTGGATAAGCATTATATATGCTTTATATAATGCTTATCCAGAGAGCATTATATATGCACATGACAAAACAAAGTATATTATTTAAAAATGACTTTATGGTACTATAATATTAAAGCCTACATTAACTAGTCTATTTTTTGCTTTTTTAACTAAAGCTTTAAATTTTTGTCCTATTTTACTGTCCAAGCCATCTTGATTTTATTTTAATAATGCAACAAAATATAAAAAAAAAACAATAGTAAAATAAAAATACCAACCTACTTTGGAGTTATGTTAACGCCTGCAATCCAGTTTATAAGTTCTTACTTTACCTGATGTTATTATAGTATATAGGTACGTGGACTGATTTTTTTAAATTGAGCATATACTAGAATGTTATATATCATTAGAAATTCCTTTAATACAGTATTTTAATGGTGAAAAAAAAATTTTAAAAATAACTATTTAAAAAAAAGTTATGACGTTTTTAGTAGCGAATTTTTTATATATGGATTTATTGAAAACTGGTTTCAAAATTATTATTTTTCCCACTAAAATTGTCATAACTTTGTCTAATCTTATCTAAATGCCTATACCTAGGTATCAAAAGATAGATGTAAGAGTAGGCTACAAGTTCATATAACTCTATAGACAAAAGGGGTGTCTATAGGACCAGAGGGGGTACGGAACTGGTGTACCATAACCTTAAAAAAAAACGAGTTTTTCACACGAAAGAGTGATTTTCTGATAAAGTTTGTTATCTTTATGCTCAAAAAATTGTTCTTATTTGCTTCCATTCCATTTCCAAATATTAGTGGTGTATTTAAGTATAAAGGGTGGATGATTTTGTTACGTTTTAACACCCTCGTAATGAAATGTTACATTCTTATAAATATTTTAATCTAAAAAATACTAATTATATTTTGTGTTAAAAAATTTAAATTATATTTTCTTACTTTACAGCATATAAAAGTAGTGTATAAATTGACATTAGGGGCGGGACATGTGCCAAGCCCAACACCCGCCCTCTCTTCCCCCTCCCCCTCATCCAGTCTTATCCAATATAAAAACTTTTTTTTTTAAAATATTTGAAAAAAGGTTTTAAATTGAGTCTATTAAAAAATAAGAGAAATAAGTATTCAAGATTATTTTACTATGTTAGTTAGGGGAGAAGCGTGTGCCACACCCAAAGCCCCCCCCCCTCCTCCTTCTTACTCAAACTTGAAAAAAATGTCAATAAGATTTTTTTTAATGTTTTTAAATTTTGTTTATTTAAAAAGAGAGACATAACTTTACAAATCTTACCCCATTAAAAGATGCATATTGGAGTATCCACCCTAAAAATAAGCCAAAAATAAGACTAATTTTGCAAATGTTAATAATGGTAAATATTTGGGAAAAAATGGAAAACAAACTTGCTGATAATAAACATAATTTATAAAAAAAAAGTGTGATGAAAATATTAGGCGGTGCCTAATAATTGTAATAATCACAATGAACCACAAGGCTGCCACCATTCCATCTTCTCCCTCTGCTTCCACGACCTTGGCCACCTCCCTTCCTGCAGCAGCTCCCAGTACACTTGTTAGGAGGATGATAGTGCCATTTAAAGAAATCATTATCCTTTCCTCCTAACTCGACCCATCACTTAAATGAGCTATTTCTTGTGGGTCTAGGATGCTGGGACCTATATAAAAGATAGTCTTGTTAGGTTAGCTCTAAATGACAATGATTTGTAAATAGGTAATACTGATAAATAAATAAATACTGAATAGCATTATCTAAATTTTAATATAAAACAATTAATTGCAAAAGTGATAAGCAGAATAAATAATATGAACATATTAATCAATGATACCTCAAAAAATGTTAATGAGAGTAATAATTTGATTCTACTTCACTTTGAGGATAACACAATACTAATGCATTAAATAGTGTATATAAATATAAACATAAATTCAATAATCTTTCAGAAACATTTTTAAATCATAAATTTACCAGCAGAAGGTTGTACACATGGAACTAAAGATAAAAAAAGTTTTTATAAAAATTTGCAATTGATAAGATAAAAAATTTTACAAAAAATAATTTAAAATTGTTAACAGTAAGTTACAAATGTAACAATCATCAAAGCTGTTCTGCTTAAGATGCAACAACTATACTAACAAAATGAAAATAGCTATTAAAATATAAAGATAATATATTTACAGGCAACAAGCGAACATTAGGAATGGTTATAAATTTATGAAAACAATAAACACATATAAAGATGGTATATAATAAGTAAAAAAAATTGACTCTAGTTTTTTAAGTGTTTCTATATATTGGAAGGTACTATAAATGTTTATTAACATTTACTTATTGTATACTTTTTTCCCTCTGTGATTATGTTAATATTTTTTTAATGAATAAATCCAAAATTCATGTAACTTATACTTACGAAATCTCAAAAAATCAACAAAAAGCTGGGTAGGATCTAAACAAGAAATAAATATTGGACATGCTTGTATAATGATTAAAACACCAATCAACAGATAAAGAAGTATATAATCCAAATATGATAAAAGACAATAATAATGATTTCTTTTGTTATATTTTAAAACAATAAGAAGTTTTTTGTTAAGATTAAACTAATGAAGTATGTAATAGACTTATTTATATGTAATTTCTTAATAAAATTGTCAACTGATGCTAACAGTTGACAATCAGTTTTAATAGGCTATTACAAACCACGTATAAATAAGTATATTACATACTTCGTTAGTGTAGTTTTAACAAAAAACTTCTTAGTGTTTTTAAAATATTAAATGTTAATGTTTTAAAATATTAAAACTGTTGCTATTAAATACCAATAGTTTTAATCTGAAACATTAATCTTTTTTAATATGTTACATAAAAAACAATGAAGGTTTTACATTAATCATTATTTTTTGAATTTGAAAATAGTTATTATTACTATCATTTAGAATTAAAAAAATTGAACATACTCTCTGTTAGGGCATCTAGCACAGTTTGGTTCATTTTTTTCTTGTTTAATTAAATCTAATAACATAAATCAAAATAATTCAAAATAAGATTTTTTTTTGAATTGCCCCCTTATACGGATTGCGGCGCCACCCGGATTTCGCTTACCAAAAAAAAAAAAACAGAAAAACCGAAATTAGGTACCTAAAGTCCAACACTAATTAGGCTAATTGCTTATAATTATTTTTCGTTGAAATTTGGCATGTTCATAGAAAATTCATGAAGCAAACTATTTTAATAATAAACAAAATAGACTCTATATTTCTTCGACTACAAATCCATGTGACAACATAAGCCAAATTTTCATGCAAAATTCTCAGCAAAATACTCCATAAAAAGGTATGCTAATAACACAATAGTTACATAAAAATCAAGCCTAACCTTTTTTTTTTTTAAAGTCGTCAAGGTTTATATATGTTTCTAAAAGGAACCACCTCAAAAAATCGTTTGCCTAGGGCTACCTGAAAAATATGGTATACTTGGTATAACACCAATTAAACTAATTGCTTATAATTATTTTTCGTTGAAATTTGGCATGTGCATAGAAAATGCATGAAACAAGCTATTTTAATAATAAAAAAAGCAAACTCTACATTTCTTTGACCACAAATTCATAAGAGAACATCAAGCTAATATTCAGGAGCAAAATATCCCATAATAAAGTTTAGTAATCATACATAAAAGTATCTAAAAAATCAAGATTAGCTTTTCTTCTTTCCAAAAAGTATCTATATGTATATATGTTTCTAGATGGAAACTCCCCAAAACTACGTCTGCCTCACGCTGCCTAAAAAAGAGTGAAAAAAACGAGAACCAAAATTTTAGCATAAAAATCAGTTCCGTAAATCGCGATTTCCGCGTACCTAATAGTATAACATCAGGTAAAGTAAAACCAGTATGTTTTGGTTTGACTATACAAACCAAAACATACTGGTCTACACTACAGTTTCATAATTATAATAAGACTTTGATTGTATATTTTATATATATATAAATATATATATATATATATATATATATATATATATATATATATATATATATATATATATATATATATA